CGCACTTGTGTGCCTGTAATGACTGTAGTGGTTAGGCAGGTGTAGATACTTCTGTACTGAAGTCAGCATATTGACAGCACCAGGGCTATATGCATTAAATGCATTTATGTATGACTAACCTTCTACTAAAGCTGAATGCTGGGTCACACAGGGGAAATCAGATCACTTTATTTATCAACTTGATAATACATGTATTGCTTTGTTTCCTTGGTTTAAACAGAGCTAGTAGGCATACAAAATTATTTGACAGTATATATGAAATGCTGAATTACTGCAGCACTTGAATCTACTCTCTTAGATGGGACGCTGTCTCTTCTATAAATGCCAGTCTGCTTAGGGAGAGTTTTGCAGTTGTGCAGACACACAGCATCAAGCTCATGGATTTCTTGAGTTTTGATGATGTGTCACACAACCCCTGTGCAAACCTTCTGTTAAAGACTCAGTTTCACCTTTCCTTTATTAGTTTTGCTCTGGTGTTCGTCTTATCCGTCAGCTTCCTGGGATAAGCTAGTCTGAAAGTTCAGGACTGTGTCTGTTTATTTTGGGTGACTTGTCTTTCAAGTACCAGTTTTGGCCAAACTATCCACAATAGTAATTTTTAGAAATCCTGAGGATTTTCCAGTTCTGGCAATGCAGATAATTCAGAGAAAACATCTTCGCTTTTCCTCTAGCTTTCAGTCCAAAAGAGCTCTCGCTAGAAGCTCTTTATTTAACCATGCAGGTCTCCTGCCTCCTTTGCTCGATTTCTTTCTCAGGGGGATGCATTGCTCCTGTGCATGGAAGAAGTGTTGTTTAAAGAGCGACTGCTACCAAACAACAACAAGGACATGGAGAAATTGTTTCACAAAAAAAGTTATTTCCCCTTGCCTTGCAATAGTTCTTCCAGATTCTTGTGCAGTTCCTGTTCAGTCAATAAATCTGTACAAGGAAAAACATGTGTGCTTAGCACAGCCATTATTGCCAGCAGGCACAGAACCAGCCTGGCGCCTGTGGAATAGACCACCAGCTGCAGCAGCACTTTACTGTATTGTAGTATATACAGTGCCAGCTAAGAAGAGAAACTGAGGAAAACAGCAGAAGTGATGCTGGCTAGAACAGCCTTGACAGTCAGGCAGGGTCAGTTCTACAATTTATGAGATACAGGACCATTCCACATACCCTACTCTCTAGAGGTTCTCTTCCTTGCCTGTTCATTGAGAGAGAGATGCTAAAGCCAGCTGTTCTGCCCTCTTTCAGTTGGGTGCATGGAAGTGGCCTTTTGAGGGGAAAAGCTTGTGGTCACAAGTATTTGCTTTGTATCTTTTGCATCTACGCTTCTAATAAGGACTTGCCTGTACTGTTGCCACTGCATTAGTCCCAAGGCCATCACTGCCAGCAGACAGCCTGAAAGCTAGCAAATCTTCTCTTGTCTTAGCCCAAACAAAATCATATCAAATCACCCTGAGCCATGGTCTTCATTCAGACCTACTCCCTACAAGTTCCCAATGAAATAAGTCAAGATTGAATTTCACCCATATCAGGAGTAATCCTTTCTGGTTAAATTTTCTAATAGAGGAGACAAGGCCCAAACACAGCATTCAGCTTCAAGTAACACAAAGGCTTGGGATACATCCTAGAACTGTTTTTCTGGTTGAGTGTCATCAAGAGCAGACCTTTCATCTGAAATCAGCATCAGCGTGTCATTTGACCACCACTGCCTCGGTCAGGGTCCAGTTAGGCAGCTGCCGTTACTTGGTTGGTCTGGGTGTATGCCCCAAGCAGAGCAGCCCATCCATTTGCCTCAGCCTGGAGTCTACACGAGGAAGTCTGCAAGCTCTGGAGGGGTCTTATGACTACATCACAAATAAAGGATCCCAAAATATTCCTCATTCCCCCTCTTGCAAAGTGGACGTCCCCAAATTCACTTTTCATGATACTAATTTAAGGACCACAAGAACAAGAGAAGAGATGCTTCTGGCCCTCAAAATGTCCATTTTCCTTAGAAAGACAGATAGAAACACACTGGATTGGAAAATTCATCACAAGGGAGGCTTTTCCAGCACTGCCAGGCTTAGCTCCTGTTGTCATTAACTCTCCTGTGGGAAAATGCCCCAGATTTTAACCACAACAAGGGGAAAAATAAGGCTTTTAAAAAGTCATTCAAGCACACCAATGTTTCATCATACCCTTTGCAGAGCAGATGGCAAGATGAGGCTATACCCCCTGGGCCTGCTCCAGGGAGATAACAAATGCTCTTCTCACTACAGATCTCAGATGGTGTTGGTGTCATCATTTCACTTGGGGATTTGGGTCAAAAGGCTTTAGACTCAAATCTCTATTTTATCTAGTACAAGCACACCCAGACTAGACCCTAACGGATAAGCAGCAGGGAGGCTCGTACACAGCATGGAGCCCTCTCAGGCACTTCCAGGTCGCCGATTTACACTGGCGCATTTACAGACTGAATCCTTCTAATCCAATCAAAATCTCATCCGAGTTGTCAATACAGTTGTAGCCTGTTTTATTTTAGTGTCTCATTGAACATTCATTAATCTGGATCTGTGGACAAACTAGCCCTTCTAGGCAAATTCTGCATTCTGCCAGCCCGATTTCTAGGCCAGGTTCTCTCACTCATAAAGTCCTTACTGTTTTCATGTTACCTGCCTACTCAGGGACCTCTTATGGACATGCATCACCATCTTATCTAAGTGCTTTATAAAAACATGAAATATACACTATTAACCTTCTGAAAAATAGCACTTTTCTCTCCCAAATCACTTCTCATGTAATGATTGCTAAGGTAATATCATTAAATATAAGAGCACGAATATGATCTACTTTCATTTCAATGGCTTCATTTGTTTGAGATGCATATACCAGTTACAGGCTGTCAGCACATTTAATAAGTTATAGCATAGACCAACAACTCACAGATTTCTGAGGCCAAAAATTTTTACAGGTCGTCATATATACTTGTCATTAAATGTTGCACTGAAAACATTATAAATCATGCTGTCTAACAGACTTCCATAAGGAAGCTGTAAGCTGTTTTGCCACAAGCACATGGAACACTGTATTTGCCAAGTATAAAACAAAAAGCTAAAAGCACTCTTAATATCACCACAAGCTCTCAAACTCCTCATAGGAACTGATACCCTTCTCAGTAAGCGAAAGCCCAGCAGCCGCTAAAACAGGTCTTTCATTATGACCCAAATGTAAACAAGTTCAAGTTTTAGCAAGCCAAGATCAGAAGCAAAGCACATCTGTTGGTGACATCTTCAGGAAGCCTGGATTGAATGCTTCAATGGATCTTGGTATTGGAGAGAAGTGAACTTTGACACAGCAATTAAAGTTTTGCATGTGAAAACCAATGCTTAAGCAGCATCCAGAAATACATTGACTGCAGAGCAGATTACGGATTACACTTTTACTCATGAGATACCTGTCAGCAAGCAGAATTCTCCACAGTCAGTCAGCTGCACTTTCCAAGAGGAACTCAAGTACTCTCACATAACAGACAAACAGACTTAAACGTAGACCAAGATTTTGTGAGATAACGCTGCAAGAGGAGATTCCTCATCTGCTACTTTGTCAGAAGCAAGTAGACTTTTCTGCTGCACACTCTATTCTTCCTGAAACAGCTGCAAATCCTACTGACTCCTTCCCACACCCATGGCGTAGAATATTGCAAATGTTAAAAAATTGTTATGGGTGCTAGAGAAGGTAGTAACAGTTAATGGAAAAGAAATCCATACCAATTTACTACATACACAGAAAGAAACTTTGGCTGAGGAAGTCTTTGAGCTGAAAATTGTTAGAGGGTTGGAGAGTATTCTGGAAAAGACCACTCTATGGCCACTTCTGTTCTTCCATAGGCATCTGCTTTGCACCCCATCCTGAAATAGGAGCCTAGGTTAGATTGTCAGACCACTGATCCGACAAACTACAGCTGTCCCCGTGTTTAGTATGATATACTATAGTTGCCCATACCTTAACCTCCACTTGCATACTCAAATTACATGGTTGTTTTCATTGCTGTAGCACTTCGAAGCCACGGGAATGGACAAGAACTTTCTGGGCTAATATTATGAGTGTAATGTAGAAAGATTACTGGCAAATTCCTCTGATTCTGAGATCTAATATTTTCTGTTCCGTTCCTCATCTCAGTAGCAGCATTCAACACACATACACTTGCAGGTACCCACTCAACATAACCTCCAATCTCAGAGTGGTAATGAGATAGCTAATCAACTGCATCAAATGGACATCACCTTTACGATGCAGATTGACAAACAGCAAAACCCTACGACCTCTGCCTGTGTTTCGCATGCCTGCTGAAAAAGAGGGCAGTGACAGTGAGGTCATTTGATGCAAGGTATGAATAGCAAGAGCCTGCTACTGGAATCCACAATGTTTACCACAAAAACAAATGACAAAGTTCGTCTGGAATAACTGCTTCCCTTTCCATTTATGTCTATTACTGCAACAGCACTGTTTCATGGTTCAAAGGCAGCTGGCAGATGAAACATAATTAGCATAGTCACCTGATTCTTGTACCTCACCAGCTGTATATAATTGATCAACAGTACATTATAGTCTTTATTTTTAGACCTACAAACCCTAAGATTTTCCACTGTACTATATTATACAGCGGATTTTATCCCAAAGTTGTTAATAAGAAATTGACTGCCAGAGATTTGTTCTCCAGAGAATTTATGAGGTTCCTTCTAATATGCCCAGTCCCACATATGGAGAATTGCATAGTGCTGTGAGAATAAATCAGCATATTTAAGCATTTTGTTCTACTTATACCCAGTGCCACTGTCCTCCATCCTGTCATTTGTCACTTTTCTCCCACCAAAGAACTGGTCATAAAAGAATGGAGGGGTAGGAAGCGGGGGAAGATTCAACAAAAGTTTTTTTCCTGTCCCTAATAAGTCTCATAAGCCCCTTTACTTCTCCTTTGAAGGGAGGAGTTCATCCACCCCCTAAAATATAGCAATCTGCCAGCAGAAACTTACCACAAGTTCGGAGAATCTGGCATTGAGCTCGTCTGCTGGTGGGATTGGGACAGAAAACTCAAGGAATTGGAGGGGGTTATTGTCCTTGAGGTTGATTTCAGGGAGGTCGTTACCCCCAAAACAACAAAGAAACCCCAACGCATGACGGTTCCTCTTCCGGGGGGCCATGATCATGATGTACGATGCTATCTTCTGATCATGTTCTGCAGGTAGGAAAAAAAAAAACAGAAACAAAAACAATAGACATTAAATAATAGATAAGACTGTTGGGTCTGTGCAGCTCTCTGCAGTTGCAATGGTTATGACTGGCGTAATAGCTAGAAGAGAACAGAAGGATAGGAGACACAAAAGAGCAAAATCAACACTCAAGCTAGACAAGGTAGCTAAGCTTTGATATGGTATTAACATGTTCTTGTATGGCAATGTAGAATTGCTTCTCCCAAAGTTTCTCAAAGGTTTTAAAAACTTGGCATGGGATTTCCCAGAAGGTAGACTTTTATGTAATGCTCAGTAGCCAAGGTTGAATGCTACCATTGAATGCCAGTCTTGGCCTTTCTCTCACTACTGCAGTAAAGGAACCAAAGTATCAGGAGCAAAAAGCTTATACTGGAGAATTTACCCAGAATAAATGGAAGAATCTGCCAGAAGTATCCCATTTGGTCAAAACAAATTGAACAATGAAATAAAGAAGCAGAAATCAATTTTCCACCACTCTGGAGCCAGACCATCAAACACTCTCTTTTCCCTTTATGGCCAGGACAATCGCAGGAGGACCATTTTGTCTATCGCATTTTCAAACACCCATAACTAGTTTGGGCTGCTTTATGTATCCAGGGGAGAAACCGCACAGTGCTAATGCATGCTTTCAGATTTACGTTTGAGCTGCCAGATCCCATCTTGACAGGCCCCAGGCTTGAGGGGCTTTGGTATAAGGAGCGTAAAGGGAGGTAAAGGAGGCCTGAAGGAGGAGCTGAGGAGTGACGGATTTCGCCACCCAAAACCGTTTGCGAGCGGCCATCCAAACAGGAAGGCTCGTGCCAGCAGTTTGAAAGGAGGGATCTGTGCAGTCCACAGACAGCCGCATATTTTGCCCTTTTAAGGGACTTGTTGTTTGACAGCTCAGGGGATTATTTGTGTTATATTTTTTAAGGACTTCACTTTTTCACTCAATCTGCAGAATAAGCTGCATCCTTAGAGAACAAATAACTAAAGCCTGTTGTGAAGCACAGCTTCCTGGGCATGGATGGGGCAAGGGAGCAGGGAGGGATGTGGCAGGTGGACCAAACTGCAGTATGCTCTATCAGCAGCAACACAGCTGAGCTTTGTCATCAGAGCAGCTGCTGCCCTAACCTGCCTCACAAGGCTTTGGTCTGCTTGCTTGCCAAAACAAGGATGTTTTGAGCTCTCATAGAGACTAAGTAGTTGTGCTAGGAAAAGCACCTTTAGGATAGTAGTGGCATAATGGGACTTAACATACTGCTCACAGCCAGAAGCTCTCCAGGGACTTTTTCTGTGTAGAAATTGGCATCTTCTATTATGCACTGGAGGAGCATCAGCTGCAACTCTCATGCAGCCGAAAGGAAAGTGAGCAGGTACCAAGCACTGTCTTCTGGCATGCCCACTTTTCTTTGCTCTCCATGTCAGCGCTGCAAGGGGTGGTATATCTCAGCAGGACTCACTAGGGCAGGGTAATGCTGGCTTCAAAAGCACATTCATAAGAGCATTATATTCTCACTAGGAAATGCCAAAGGCCATCTTAACCCTAGAACTGGTCTCTGACACTGGTTCAGTCAGCAAAACCAAAATGCCCTCAAGTGTAGCACAGTAATGTGCACAGCAACGGCCATTTCCTTTCAATGGAGGAGACTTAAGAGATTCTGTTGTTAAAAGATTTCACAAGAGAGCCTCAGAAGAAGCTGAACTTGTCCACCACAGTTCACCTTTTCAGAGACTACTCTGAGTGCAATGTCCATTGCGGTAATCTGGTCATGGACGAGATTAGAAACCATTAGTTTGACAAAACTTTGTTTTGGAAGGAACTCAAATCAATGAGACAAATCTGATTTACATATAATATAATTACATTTACTTCAATTCAGTTGTAACCAAGCTCTGGCCCATTGTCTAGAGGCTTCCTCACGAACCATCAAAGGACCAGCATTCTCTGGGGCATGGACAATGAATCCTCCTTGGAAACACTGGCTGAGACATTGAATTGATAGGATCATAACATCTTGCTTTAGGAGCTCAGGTCAAGACTTTGGTAAGCACTCCACCAAAAGAGGGACCTTACCAGGAAGTGAGTGCTACATGAATGGATATGAAGGCAAACTTTTTCCACAGGGTATGTACTGCCCTGGTCAGGGCACCACAGGTTATCCTGTACTGATTTTTCATTGCTCAGCTTTCATCTTAAGCAGGTTCACCTAAGAGGTAACAGTCAGTCCCCAGGCCTCTTCATCCATAATGCTGAAAAATACACAAGTTAGTGCTTGTGCCTGCAGTGCTTTTACAAAATCAGCATCCATTCCTTGGGATCCATACTTGAGAAACTCCACAGAGCTACTCAGCTTTTACTGCTCTGCAAAAGCACACAGAGCTCACGTGAACAGTAACCTGGTACTGCTTCACTTTCACAAAGCATCGTTCTGTTGCACAACTCATACTCATACTTTAACACTGGCTTTTTCCAGGTCCATTTATAAGCAGCATGCAGGAAATTCATACTAACACAAGGGGTAAAATGGTGCTTTTGTACTGCTACAACACTCTAACTGTAGCTATATCAGGTGTCTAGATGATTTAAAATAATAATAATTGAGGACTGCTAGAGAAGAATCCAGCACAGGTATTTTTTAATTGAATCACTGAATGAATGAATGAATGATATTTCTAAGTGGGAGCACTGTCTTTCTAAAGATTAAGCCTGCCGGTCATAGGATGCTGAGGAGCATTTACTTAAGTTGCACTGTTTATGCTATTTAAGAACTAATTACAACTCCCTGATTTTTGTTGGTGAACATAGTTTTAGACAAAATAAAAATTTTCTAATAGCCTCCAAATGAATAATCTTTTCCTTTCCTTTCTCTCTCTTTTGCTTTTTCTTTGTCAAGAACCAAATCTGGGGAAAATGTTCTCCCAAAGGATGAGACGGGGGAGGGGGAGGGGCAACAAAGAAAATGAATATATATAAAGGCTCTACTGCCTTCCAACTTCTTGCAAGTAAAGTGACTGTAACAATGAAATGTGCATTTATCTATTTCTATATATACCTCCAGTGAGAATAAATGGGAAATCTCTCTCTGGAGAGAATCCCACTATTACACATAACGCCCTCCCACAGCTCTTCTCAGTTGTACTGTTTTACCCTTTTGCACAACACAAACAAGTTGCTGTCATTTCAACAGCTAACCACACACCCGCTCCTCATAGCGGTCCCTCTCCTGCTTCCCAGCTCCATCTGCGGTTCGGCTCAGGTCAGGAGTCACAGTCTGGAATTTTGTCCAAGGTCTAATTATAACAATGTCCTCTTCCTCTGACAGGGCGTACGTGTTCATTTCTAAACCACTTGGCCCAGTGACCAAATGTAATTAAGCTAATGCAATTTTTCCAAGTCTTATCAGAAGGTTTAGCCCCATGGGATGGGATCTATGCTATCTGTACACAAGGATCCTCTTTCAATGGCAGATTCTAAATTGTTCCTTTACTCTCCCTCTTTTCTTCATTCTGATCTCAGAAATTATGATTTTCATGCAACATTTACTAAATAAGCAACATTCCAAAAACAGTAAAACACCTGAAACAACTGCTGTGCCAGCAGCTCTCCTGTGGAAGAGAGATGATAATCACAGTTTTTACCTCACTGTTCTGTCCTTCACCACAGTGAACAACCAAAGGACAACTACAACTGTAATAGAGAAAATTATTTTTGTATCATCACCTTTGGAAAAACAGAAGAAAGAGAGGGGAATCTGTGGGTTAACCAAACACACACAGTCCTGCAAAGCCAGTTTGCAACATAAGGAAGCATTAATAGCAAACACTGATGGAGTCACCTCCAGAGCTGAATCTCCACTGATCATCAACAGACACAGCTCTCACCTGAGTGGGAAGCGTGGGACTAATCGTATAATGCAGACTCACTGTCCACACTGGTTTATGCTAACAGAAGAGGAAACAAAGAAAATCACTTCCATTTCCCCATAAAGTTGTATCTGTCTCTTTGGCAAGATAAAACACACAAATGTGATGTATTACAGCAGAAGTAGAAAGAAACCTGAATTTGGACTGGTTTGGAACATAAGCCAACTCACCCCCCACCCTCAAATCCAGGTTAAATCTCTATGTTATTCAGCTATTAAACAATAAACCACCAGAACTTCATGGTATTATAATAGCTACCTTCATCATCACTTACTGATGATGAATAGGAGAAAATAAGCACTATGTTTAAAATTGTCAAAATATATACATTGGGTAAAGCTAAAGAGCTCCGCGCTGATCTTATGCTCAGTTCCCCGGACAACATTTCTTCTCCAGTACACAAATGGTGAAACTATCAGCTTAATGGTGTGTTTCAATTACCACGTGAATTTTTCATGTATGTCACATGTACGTGACAGATGTCAGACATGATACAAGGCAATTGCAGCATGAGGGATGGCAAAAGCGGGCAGGCAAGCAATCTATTCAGTGCACCTGCAGTAGTAACCCAACTCCTTTTGTTTGGATTTGTCACCATACCAAGGAGTTTCCTGGTCTCCAGGGCACAAAACAGCAACAAAATAACCAACTATATAAAGTCCACAGTGAAAACCTTTCTTTCAGGAACTAGGGTAGTCCTTCCTGAAAAGCGCATCTGCCTACTATGGCGGACAGGAAGGCATCAGACCCAAAAAGGATCAACAGATCACAGGAAAGAAAATCCTGGAAAATGAGCAGGGCCTTGTGCAGCCACAGACACTCAGTCCCGGCAAGCGATGGCCCAAGCTGACTGATTCCATCAGAGGAGAGAGCTCAGCTTGAAACACACTGCACATTTTGAAGCCAGTTCATGGATTTTCCCTTCCACAACACATCACCCCAAGGGTGCAGATCTCAAGGTGGTATAAGGACTTCACAAGCCAGACCAGGCACTCAGTTCCGGTCTGTTTTACACACCATCAAAACCGAGATGGTTAAGAACCTCACAGCATTCCACAGA